CTATCAGCACTATCCTTATCTTCAGGGCAGATGTTTTTATTTTATTTGGCTTTTAATTCCTTACTAAATGTAGTATTTCATCTCGATGTACTCCGGATTTCATATGATTTCAATCAAATTCCTCGTCTGATAGTGAAGAAAGTGACACAGAGGTTATTGAAAACGAAAAAATTTCGATTGACAAATTAGTCTGTATTCTCGACACAGCACAGTGGAACTTTGTAACTGAACAAGAAATTATGCCTGTTTATAGAATTAAAGAGAAAGTATTATCACATAAAACAAAGCAACTTAAACAACTTACATTGAAAGAAATGTTTAATAAAGTAAACAAATAAATATTAAGCTTTTTTTTTTTTTGTAAATTTTGATACCCTTTAGATCATAATTGTTCTTTAATTCATAAATTACGGTTTCATATTTTTAATTTTATAATTTCTGCATGCCATCTTACCAGATTTAAACTGATGATCTATAATCCGGAATCGCCAAAGTCGCGACGAGTCCGGATTAATGACTTTTGACTGTATATGATAGTAAGCTAAGTAGGTTAAAGTAAGCTCTTCGTTAAATAGCCCACGCTGAAACTCTTTGTTTCTTTTTATTAAGAATTTTTTTTTGTTATCACAAGCACATAAATAGTAAGAGAAGAAAATAGAATATACTTAATAAAAAATAAAATCTAATTTCCCACATTCATTTATTGAGATAATCTAATAAACATACATAACAGATATAGAATATACTTAAATTTAATAAAAAATAAAACCTAATTTCCAACATTCATTTATTCAGATAATCTAATAAACATCCATAACGGTAATATTTAAAAAAAAAAAGCGAATTACACAGTATTTGGAAGAAAAGATACCAAACGAAAAGTAATAAAACTGCAATTTGTAATCCATAAAAAATATTTAGTGTTTTTTAATATTATACAATTAAATATCACATAATTATAAATTACAATATTTCATAGTAATGCTAATGTTTCCAAAACACTAATTTTTCAATCATACATTTCATACACTTTAAAATCATTAACCTTTTCTGCATACTATAGAATATGCATTAATTTTAATGTATTGGTTCTTGTTATTACATATATCTAATTCATCTTCAGCAGTCATATTAAGTACTGGTACCAGTCCAATAATTTCTTTGTATTTTGAAACTACTGAACGTACCATAACAGCTTGAATTGTTGTTGCTTCTGCATTGATTGTATTTTCAGCAAAACCAGAAAATGCCTTACCGTTGCACGTTATTTTTGGTTTCATATGAATTAATTCTGAGCACCAACACAATAATCAATAATATGAATCATATATGATACAGCACTTAGGACGTTATAACCAAATCCTTATATCCAAATATTTCACCACTGGAACCACTGATCATTGGACAACACCATATAAGTTTAATCACCGGAAACACATAAATCACCATAACAGAACACTATTTCACTGTATGGACGATTTTAGTACGTTGTATCCGATATTTTCTTTAAAGGATGTATCCAAAATTCTGTCGTCTTGTAAAGCAGATATTCACAAACAAAATAAGCAGAAATTCAGTATTACCATGATGATTTCTCCTCAATTCAAAATAAATTCCCATCATTATATTCTTGTACATCATTCTCTTGCTGTATTGAAGCTCTACAGTATTTAATTCCGACAGTCAATTACAAAACCATGAAGAAAATATTCCTGAAAAAAAGATGGAGTTATTGCGTAGTTAACTTGCTCAAATTTGGCAGCTAGCCAAAGCATGCAAGCCTCGAGCTCAGATGTTCGTTTATATAATCATCTAGTAAATAATACACATGGAATGTCAATCGGTCGAACAGCAATTCTGTGTAACTTTTCAGCGATTTATACGATTGCATTACACCTTTCAACAGTTCTGATAATTTAATAGAGTCTTTTTTAAATGGCCTAGAAGAATTATTTCAACTGAATAGAATTACGAATAATGTTCACAAGATTATATTTACAAAAAAATATTTATCAGGCTTGCTAAAACATTTGTCAATGTCACCAAATCTCGAGTGTACCGTATACTAGGATTAAACCAAGCATTTTTGAAAGCATGGAGATGGACAAAAACGTAAAAAAATAACAAACAGTTCATCAGAATTTTTATAGGTAATGAATTTCGTATTTTTGTTCACAGTTTCTCCAATTTTGATGTCAACATTTATTAGTAATTTATCAAAGCCATTAATTCTATCGTTTTCCATGAGAAGTGTTAATATTTCTTTCTCTTTTTTAATTAATTTTTCCATTCAGTTTCTCCTCACTGTCGGTGAGATTTCCGTCATATATATTGGACAGCCGTTAAATATGCATGGATATGCATTGTCTTTAAACATTGGACATTTTCCCGAAATTCTTAAAATTGCCCCATTTTATCCATGAATACATCTTCACGCACAATCATACATTCACGAAAATTGTACTTTTTGCACTGTATGCGATAAAATGTTTCATATTATGTCAGCGTATTAATTCAAATAAATTCATCCTTACTTCAGAAATAATAAATAAAGTCATATTTCAGCAGTGAAATAACTGCTAACATGTGATTTGCATTGATTTCGGAAATATGATTTTTTTTAAAATATATAAAACGCATAACTTAATAACTTACTTTATAGATTTTTTCATTTTAAATATTTTGCTATAATATTTATAAAAAATATTTTAAGTATTAATTATTTTAACAAAATTTTAAACAATAATTTAACATGTATTTTTAGTACTAACTAAATTTAATAAATCAAAAGTATTTATATTAAATTTATATTTCCTTAGATGAATCTAACTTAAATTAATATATTTATATGAAATAAAGTAATGAAACATAGCAAAATAAGTCTTATGCAGACTTGAAAGGGCAGATTTACTCTCTTTTCATTCTAAAAGTAACGCTGATGAACTATGAAAAAAATGCTAAAACAACCACGTCTAAAAGCGGTCATATCATGATGCTTCAATGGAGTCGACGAATCGCCAAGATGCAACGGCAAATATTTTGCGTCTTCACAACGTTGCAAAGACGTAGTAAAAGTTACCACGACCACTTGCACGTATGCAACATTTCAAACGAGTTTGCAATGTCTTTGCAATGTCGTGTGCTACTTGGGTGTGCTCCATAAACTGCCTACGGATATTATCCGAAAAACTCCTTTGAGCAATAGTTCTATACTAAGACGAATTGATGAGATGGCTAAAATCATCGTCTGCAAACTTTTCAATTTTCAATTCAGCTGGATGAGTCCACTTTAACAACCACTAAAGCATTGTTATTGTCATACATGAGTTTTATCAAAGATGAAGAAATATGCCAAGAACTATTGTTTACTACCAATTTGGAAACAGACACAAAAAGAGAAACCACATTCAATACAGTGGAAAAATTTTGTAATGAAAAAGAAATTCCTTTCAATAATATTTTGCCAGTTGCTACAGATGGCACACCAACTATGACAGGGCACCATAAAGGTTTTGTAGCATGCTTAAAAAATAAAATACCTGACATGCTTGTTGTGCATTGTGTAATTCAATACCAGCATTTGGTTGTGAAAAATCTGAGTGAACGTCTCCATACATCACTGTAATATGTTATCAGAGCAGCTAATAAAATCAGAAGTAACTCAATGACAGATTATCAGTCAACTTTACATTGCCAATGATGAAGATTCAACCGATTGCTGCTTCACACAGAGGTGTGCTTGCTGTCAAAAGGAACTTGTACATCTTGTTTTACAATCTGTTTGGGTCTGTGACAGAGTTCCTACGAAACAAAGACACGGAACTGCATGACAACCTCATCTTATCAAAGAACGATATTGCATACTTGGCAGACCTGTTTAAATTGTTTAATGATGTCAGTTTCCAACTTCAAGGTGATGCCTTAAACTTGATTAAGACAAAAAATAGTATTGCTGCTTTCATGTAAAAACTGCTATTATAGAAAGAAACATTGACAGATGCAAATTCAATAACTTCCCAAATTTATCAGCAGTATAATTCAAGCACGACAACTTGCTTGTTTACTGTCAACACTTGGAAAACCTCCACAGTGATTTCAAGGATTGATTCCAGGACATTCTAAACATGGATATACCGGATTGGATTTTAATTCCCTTTTTCAAATGTCAACACAGTAGGATCATCCCAGTTAGAAGAACTAATAGAACTGACAACAAATAAAGAATTAAAAATTAAATTCAAGAACGGCTACAAAGAATTTTGGCTGCAGAAGTCGATTTTCCAACTATAGACAGGATTTTGGTCGATTATTCAACAAATTCTGATAGCATTCACATCTTCCTATTTAGCTGAATATAGATTTAGAGCTGTAGCAATGTTGGTAACTAGAAAAAGAAATTGGCTTCATGTTACTGAACACAGCGACTTATAGTTGCTTTTAAATAAAACAGAGCTCAATAGTAAGAAACTCCTTAAAATGCATCAAATTCAACCTTCTCATTAGATAAGTAATAAATTCAGTGTCTTTTGAATGTTAATAAAAATACTTTTTAATATAGTTAAGTATGCGTTTCAATCATCTTCATTGAAACAGTCTTCTTTAAACTCAGAATAAGGATAGGGTCATAGCCTATCTTACAACTATGGCATAAAAATTGGGGGGAAGGGGCTTTAGGAAAAAAAACTCTCAAAGTGAGTGGTGGGCAAAATAAAGTTGAGAACCTTTACCTTAACCAGAAGATAAGAACAACATAATTCACAAAATTTCAGTACAAATATTTTTAAAGCACAAAATGCACAATTTATCAACATATAAGAATAAAAAAACTGAGTTCACGGAGACGAGTAATAGAGTGGGTATATATATTTATATACTTTTGGTGTGGCCAATTGCAACCAAAATGGAGGTGCAGAACTAGATGTTATAGCAGTTCTAGCACAACTACAGGTTATAGCAATTATATAATTATTAAAATAAAAAACTGAATGAGAAAATCATACCAGCAGATTAACTGTACAGCTCATTCTTTTGTCTCTATTTTCTTCTCCCTCCATCACATTTCTAGCATATAAAGTAATGAATAATTACATATGGAAGTAACAAGGAATAAAAAGACATTTTGTAACATTTGTTCATGAGATAATAGCAAAACTAACAAAAAAAGTTTTTGTACACATCTACAAATAATACGGGTGGCAAGCTTATTTTTGATATATCACATCATTATAGCACCAGTTGGTTGCATTTTATATTAAAAGAATGAATTTAAATAAATAAATAACACATAAATGCAATACAGCAATTTGCTGTAGTTATCGAAAACAAATGTTCCTAGGGGTCAGGTTAATATTCATGATTTATTTCACACATTGAGTTTTGACAGCAATTAAACATTAATCCATTTACATTTAAGTTTGGAAAATAAGTTTTAACTTTTTCAGTACAAATATAAAATAAAAAAATCTAATGAATTGTTTTTAAATCATATTTCTAGGAAGATTTTTAAATATTGGGAATAACTTTTTAATGACTATGAAAAAACATTTCAAACCAAATGAATTATCTGAAAGGATGATACAAAAAAAATTTCTTCTGTTTATTAACAGCAAATTCTATTTTTGTAGGCACACTATTAAAACTCCAGCTTAATAATGCTATGGAAATAAGTTTCAAGAAGAAAAAATAAATAAAACTTATATTTTTTAACCAATAAATTAGTACTTTTTATCATCAGTTATCATAAAAATATTCATGTATTTAATTTCCAATATAATAATAGCTTATAATATATATGATGATAAATATGTACTGGAATTCAAATTGAAGGACTGAATACTGGATTCAAATTCAATACTGGAAGCATAAAATTTTAAGATATTCCACTTTCTGGCTAGCCGAATCTCAGATACTTGGGCTTTTATTGTAATAATTTTAGAGCAGTACTGCTTTTTAAAGTAAACAATTTATAGTATGCTAGCTTTCATAGGAAGGGAAGACATGATTATCTAATGAATAATTCACTGAAATGTATGGAAGAACATATACTTAAAACAGAAAAGATTACAAATTGGTGTCAAATTGGTTAATTGACAATCAGCATAACTTCACAGTGTGCTTTAACTAAAGGGAACTAAGCAATTTTGGCAGGACAGTCCCGCTTTTTGGAAGACTGTCCCAAGTCCCACTGATTTTTAAAAATGTCTCGCCTTTTAGAAAACACCTGCATTTCTTATTTTAAATGTACTGTAAAAATATATTACTAACTATTTATTATAGTAAAAAAATAATAAAATACATAATAATAATAATAAAAAAGCACATAAAATGCATGCAGAGTAAACTAAATTAGGCGACGTAACAAGTTAGATTTACTCGGTGCTGTTCGATCATTGTCGTTACGTCTTGTCAAGGAATATGTATTGTTAACGGAGGAACAGATAGAATTAGCTGAAGGGCTATTTGCTTTCCACACCTTAAACCACAATCAAAGTTTCAGATCAATTGATTGTATGTTGTAAATGATCAAAATATTGTACGACAAAAAATCTGCATGTGCAAGGACAAAAAACGAAGCAATTATTTGTAATGTTTTTTCACTATATTCGTGTTCACAATTGCAGAAAGAATTATATAAATGCAAATATATATCCATATATTATGATGCTTCCAACCACAAAGATTTAAAATTATTTCCCACAATTGTTAGACTTTTTGATCCAGAAACAGGAATTAAAATTAGAATATTAGATTTTATTTCATTGCCGGGAGAAACTTCACAAATAATTTTTGATTCAATAAGTACTATTTAAAAAAAAAAGAATAATTTGAACAATAAAATTATTGCCTATTGTGAGGATAACACTAACGCAAATTTTGATGGGAAAAACTAGAAGAGACAACAATAACGTGTTTACAAAACATTTGAACCAAAAAATTATTAGAGTAGGCTGTCCAGCACACATTCTACACAATACTATTCAAACAGCATCTGACTTTCTTCCAGTGGATCTTGAAAATATTATTGCAAAAATTTATTCGTATTTTTATATATATACTGTGCGTGTTGAAAGTTTGAAGGATTTTTGTAAAAGCGCAGAAATCGAATATAAAAGAATTGGGTGACATTAAAAAAGGAGATTTTATGGGAATATGTGGAAAAATCTTTTTAATATAATAATAACCATTTTTCAAGAAATAATATTTGCGAAAATGATCTTTTTGATGAGGTGTCATTGGTAAAAAGATATGTTACTGAAAAAAAAATTAAACGTTGAATGTCTGAAAATGTGGAAACGGACAAAAAATTAACGGAGTTATTCCTTCTTTTTAAACAGAATAATATTCCTTATGAAAATATTTTGAAAACTGTAGAACACGCGCTTTCCCTTACAGGAACAAATGCAGCAACAGAATGTGTTTTTTCTAGTATCAATAAAATATGGACAATTGAAAAAACACAGTTGAACATTAAAACTTTAAAATCTGTATTAAGGGTAAAATATAAGACCAATTCATGTGAGAAATTTCACGACATTTTAATAAATGATCAGAATCTATTGCAAAGTATTCATGCAGATAAAAAATATGACCATGAAAGAAAATCTTAATTTTTTTTAAATAAAATTTTAAATTAATTAAACATAGTATTCAAATTATAGATTTTTATAAATATTTTTATAGTTACCAATAGTTAATAATAAATATATTTTTGTATATTTATAGACAAGTATATGAATGTATACAATAAAATAATTTTTTTTTTAATTATTGGTCTGCTTTCATAACTAAATTACAATTCTCATTTCATTCCATTTGTCCCGCTTTGTCTCAATGAAAATGTGGTCACTTTAGCTTAAACAAAAACAAAACAAAAATGACTATAACACATCATTAAAAAATATCTGTCAAAAATATAAAAACAGGTAGAAGGGACAAAAATATGCAGATTTTGCAATGGAATGTGTGTGCAAGAAAATGACATACTGAGGTCATACAGAGAAATCATCACTTTTTGTGCAGATTTTGAGTGGTGTACATGGCTGCATGCAGGGCTCAGTGACATGCACTTTATCTAGGGGATTGCAGACAGAAATGGGGCTGCTCAAATAAGGTACTTGTTGTAATTTGTTTATACAGTTAAATGTACCTCCTTCAAGTAGCTGCTCCATTTTTAATAACAGCCCCATTTATAAGATGAATGGGGGCATAGCCAGCTTCCTGTTTGTAAAGTGAAGCAGATCACTCAAAATCTGAAAGGGAATAACAATACAGCAGAATGCTCTTATTTACCACTCAAGAGCTTATTGTACGACCTCAATGTGCTATTTCAACACACATATTCCATTAAAAAAATCTGCTTATTTCATTCCCCTCTACCTGCCTTTATAATTTGGCTAGATATTTTTAAAACAGTCAGTAAATTAGAAGGCAAAAAAAGGTAGAAGGATTAATCTTTCCATTACTTAAAAGTTCATTTGTATAAAAAAGATTCATTCTTAAAATCAACAAATAAGCAAAACTGCAGAACAATAGATAATTCCTTATCGATATTAAAAAATCATGCAGGAATCTCATAATGCCTTTAATTTTCAAATTAATGACTATAAAGTATTGTTTCATTAGCATTTAAAAGGTTAAATATAAAATCCAAGCACTTATTTCAAGACTACAAATAATGATTGCAAACACATATATTTTTTAATAGGAATATGTTCTTACCTATAATCAAGTAATCTCTCCAAAAGTCTAGTAATTGAATTGATAAAAGCAACTCCATTTTCTTTCCAAATAGGATCACTAGTTCTAACTTTTTCTAAAAGACTGTAAAATATATATTGTATGTATATATATATGCGCGTGTGTGTACACATGAATTTCCATAACATAAAATAAGTAATTCTAAAATTTAAAATTCTCTTTTTGTATCTTAATCATTAGACCTTCAAATACATTATATACTCTGCCACCCACTTAACAGACCCATAGACTTTACCAATATCAGCTTCTTTTTACGCAAAAACAGATTTAAAAATTCTTTGCATTGCATCCCCCCTCGTAAGTCTTTCATAGTAATAAACCATATTTTAACATTAATGTTGTCAGAATAAGCTTAACTGCTTCTTTTAGTATTATTAACAATCAACCACAGATAGCCATTAATTCAAGCATACATTAAAAAGATAATCTTAAAAATTAATAATTAACTTAAGCTATAGGTTGTATTGATTTGCATTAATTAGTCAAAGTATAATAAAATGAAAAAGTTGCACTATAAAATATCAAAAAGGATTCAAAAGGATTCTCATTTTCCTTCACAAAATTTCAGCAATATATGTGCAATATCATTTCTTTAAATGATTACTAGAACCTCTGTGTTTGCATTAACAGCTTAGAATCTCAATACTCAAAACAGGAATGATTTTCACAGTCATTTATAAACACAGAAATTTAAAATGCTTAAATTATACAAATCTCAAAATGCTCTGTACTTTATGCTTTACACATTATCCAAGTATATGTATACATATATAGAAAGAGGAAGCAAGTGAGGACAAATATGTTATAGCTGGATGCAAAAGGTGAAATTTCCATATCAAAAGATGTGTGCGCTAGATGAATACACTGCACAGCTCATCAAAATTAGAGGATAGTGACAGAAATAAAGCCTACTGAAAACTTATTAAAAACAATTTATACAAAAGCATTATTAAACATAAATTACTATGTCTGCTGGATTATTAATCTCAAAATAATGAAACTTAAAATCAAATTCATTAAAATTTTTAAATTATGGGAAAATAATCTTCTGTCTTCTTCTAAATAAGCTTAACAAATCTTTCTTAATACAATACATAGTTTTTCTCTGTCAACCTCATACCTTTATTTCATAGAATTTATCAAATTGTTGATCAAGTCTCGTGAAACAGCATGCAACTCTTTTGAAAATGAGCTTTACAGATCCTGGAAGATCTAGGAAGACCATCTCAACAATCTAATGCATCCCACATACGTTCAATTGGGCTCAAATTTAAGAAGTATGCGGGCCAGTTCATGCAACTCTTTTGAAAATGAGCTTTACAGATCCTGGAGGATCTAGGAAGACCATCTCAACAATCTAATGCATCCCATATATGTTCAACTGGGCTCAAGTTTAAGGAGTATGCTGGCCAGTTCATTCAACTGATATCTTCTGTTTCTATATACTCTCACATCACAGATGCCTGATTCAGACGAGCATTGTCATTCAGCAGCAAATAATCTGAGTCAATGGTATTCCTAAACAGCTTTGTGAGAGCTCTAGGATGTCAATCATATATCAGTGACAAGTTGTGCAGCTTTCATCAAAGACATGCAGTTCAGTGCAGCCTTTTTTTTTTTTTTTTTTTCACAATAAAGTAGGAAACTGCTTCCACTGAAATGGAATTGTTCATGAACTAAGAAAAGTTACTTGTTCCTCACCCCATCCAGATCAAAACACATCTAGAATCATATCTGAAGCTATACCTGGACTTGTTATTAAACACAAAATGGTCTTATTCTTCTTGGCTCCATTGAAGGTAATGATGAAACTGCTTTAAATGAGCCTCTTAAGATGAAACATGTAAAAGACAGGCCATTAATTTTCTCAAAAAAAGTCTAATATTATGAAACCTTCTTAAAACAACAGAAGGATGTTTTTTTTTTTTTTTTTTTTTTTGAGTTCCAATGACAACATGAAAATCTAAAACACATTCTTTTGTAGTTACTTCATGGTTTCTTTGAACTGACACTGACAGAAAATGGCTTATGGAAGCCTTTATTGCTTTATTGATTCACTACTTAAAAAGCAATTTTAAGTCCTTGATTTGACATTTAGAAGATATTCAGATCCTGGGTGACTTTCTTTGTTCCTCACATTCTTCCTTGAACAGTCTCTCAATTAACCACCACTTCTGTTCTTCACTTAACTACTTAGATAATGCCTTCAAATTATAACTAAAGAATACTGATCATTCCAAGAAACCACATAACTTTAAACAACATCGCACACTTAAATTTCAACATGAATCCATAGTTCAATACATTACAAATCATCTAATTTGATATTCCAAGTACTAATCTATGCACAAAAGCCTGATTTTGTAAATTAGCATAAATAACTTTTGGATACAATCTGAAAACTTTAATCAGTGAGAATACTTTATTTGGACAATCCTTTAAGTTTAGTGAGCAATGTAAAATACTTTCAAAAGAAGACTACTGTGTATGGAGCGGTTAACTCAAACTTTCAACCTAAATTCCATCGTACATGATTGAATTGCCCTTAAGAAAACTAACTATTTTCAGCACGACAAAGAAAAAAACTTATACTACTTATTACTTCTTATTGAGTTAACTGCTGTTTTCATTAACAATACTGAACACAATTATTAGGTCAGTAGTGATTTAAGAGATAATGGTCTCTTACAGCCCTTACAGTACTTATTTTATAGTATGTAATATAAGAGATGAAAAATCCTTCACATCTTGTACTCTGTTATCTGGAATCTAATATATCATTTGGACAAATTTTCGGTATACTTAGTGTACTATAATTTTTATGGAAATTTAAAACAAACTACGTAATTTATGCTTTAACTAAATTTCATAAAAATTTCTTCATATCATTTTATTTATTTAGCATGATATTTTATTTATTTATTCCACTTATCCTCTTTTTAATTCAAATTTACCTTAATTTACAGAAGCTAGAATGTTTGATAATCAACACAAAACCAGCTAGAATAATTTATTTAATCATTTGTAGATTTAAAAAGCTTTTATTCAATTATTTAAACCAATTTATGTATTTGTAATATCTAATGATAATCAGCTGATATACTTTCATATGAAAAATAGTTATGCAATATCAATTGAGTAAGTTATTCGAATATAATTTACATCTATCAACAAAAGTAGTATTAAAATTTCCTTCTGATTAGTCAATAAACAGAACCATTTTAGCTGATATATCTGGCATTTATTTGCAATAGCTAACAACAATTTCATAGTTTTCATTTGAAAAATAGTTACATGTTACACTAATTAAATTAATTATCACAATGATAAACAAATTATTACACTTTTACTACTGAACACAACCCATTACAATATTCTACCACACAAATTAAGAATTACATTGCTGCAAAATGATTGCAAATAATATTCATATATATAATAATTTAGATGCTGATTATGTGAAACATAAAGAGGCATTAAAATTCATGGCAAATTGAACATATTTTATTCCTTAATGAAACAATGCTTTTACTATAAACAAACATTTTTGATGGAAGACATAGATAAATTGGGCTAAGCATGCAAAAACTTTAATGAATTTTTTACATTTTTGATGAAAGAAAAAGAATAGCTGATAGCAAGCTTAGGGTTAACAGGAGTGAGAGAAGAAATGCAATATGGCCAAGATGAAAGCTTGGTTTAGAATAAACCATTCTGGTTTGACTTCTCTTTGATTGATTTCCAAGTTTCAGATTGCAAAATTTAAAATTATTATTGGCTGAAGCATTATGTAAATGCCTGTATCATTAACATTATGCAAGACAATGAAGATGATTAATTTTGAAGTGATGCAGTTCAGAACTATTAATTATAAGTACTTCCCAGAAAAAGGAATGATCAGATTAAAAGGGAGCATTATAGAAATAAAGGAAGTTAGTATTTTAACTATTTTTTATTTTACATTATCCCTCCATCCCTTCTACAAGAAAATACTTGGCAACAGTAAAGCATTAGAAAATATGTAGAGGTATTACAGTATAGAAAATACAAATTATGAAATTTTGCAATTAACAGTTTTTAAACTATTGCAGACTATAAATGTTCAGTCTTATATTTTTGATAAACATCATTCCTAGAGGCCTAACTAATCCAATTTGAAAAGACCTTGTTTTCCACAGACCAAATAATTATTAGGATTCCTCGGGGAAAGTTTCCCAAACTCTTGTCACTTTCATCACGAAATATTAAATATAAAAAGTTTTACACATCTATTAGTTATTTTGATACATTATAAGAATCATTCACATATATGGCATTCAATTTTCAATTTGATAAATATTGTAATAATCTACTCAAATTATGCTTTCATTCTTAATTATTTTTCACTAAATCAGTTAAGTGGTTAGTCACTATTTTTACTAAATAAGTCTATAGGATTACCTATAGACTGTGGAGAAATCCCTGTTTTACTAAAAGGTTTGTCTACAGACTTAGAAAGAATATTTGTTCTCAACTGCAAGTTCTAAATTCTTTAACATGATTCCTGCATAATTTTTCTGCCATATCTTCAAATCCTCACTTATTAATTTGACATCCAGTAAATGAAAGTGAAAAAAAAGTGTACTCTATTATTTTCAATGATAAAAGATTTCAGAATACCAGCCCACCAAAGATTATCTATCTCAGCATTTACAAGAATGTCCTTTAAACTGCCTGAGCAAGATTTTTTCAGTTCTGCTTTTCATCATGTATACCATGTTGATCAGCCTCAAATTCGAAATTATTTTTATCTTCCAAATGAATTAAATAACATTTATTATCAGTAATACAAAATTTATAAATATGCTATGGTGTTCAAATTGAAATCAAGTACATCTGTTTTTAACAAATTTCTATTATTTTGATTTGGTTACTGTAACTGAAAATATGCCTATTTAGAAAACAAATCAATATAATTAATCTGATATTCTAATTTAATGATTTGGTATTTTGAATTTTGTTAGTTCATTTAATTTTATATGTTTGATAATATAAAAAGTTAGTGGTAAAAATATGTATGTTTA